TATCTTGCGTGGTTTTTTTGGAGTGGTATTTCGAAAGGAGTTTTGACGACTCACATGTTTTAGGGGATATTCGAATTTATAAATTTTCGAATCACAGGAAGCTTTGTAGCATTCCTGAGCTTCATATTTCAGGACATCGTGGATAAGTCGGGTGTTGTGCGTGTGCAAATTGAAGGCGGTGACGCGCAGAGTCGCGTTGACGAAAACGTTGGCTTTTTATCAGCTTTTTTTTCCTTCTTCAAAGCTCATTTACGGATTAAAGGGTGGATATGGGCCTCATATCTTTCTAAAACTGTCCTTATATCTTCTCATGTAATCCTCATTATCCTCAGATTATCCTCTAAGATTAAGAAAAAGCAGTTGTTCGCTTTCGAAGATTTTGTAGGAATTATTTGATCTTTGTGAAATAATGCTTAGTGTATGGCTTTGCCTCTGTGAGTTTACCATTAAGACATTTGTAGAATTGGGACATTTGTCTTGTAGCTGTAGGCGAATCTTAGACTCATTTTGGAGAATAAACATTGCTGATTATCCGAATAAAGATAAACATCCATTTTTCCGTGGAGAAAGGGGGGGGGGGGCAGGCTGGAAAGTTTCTTAACTTCGCTGGACATTTTTTATCTTTTTCGTGAATAGGCACCCAAGATCGTGGTACCCGAGGAGGGTGCATGAGCCGGAGCATCTGGTCCCCAAGTGCGTTCAGTTGATGGTTTTTTTTTCAGGCTGACGAGCCAGTGCCGTTTGTGTTCACCGGTACGAAAGACGCAATTTCGATGGCAAATTTACTGATCGAATACCATCTGCGCCATCTGAAAGAAATGGAGGAGATGCGTCTGAGTGTGGATGAGATGCAACGGCAACTCTATTCGAGGTCGACACCACCTCCTCCTGGCGGAATAAATGGCAATGGGTAAATTAAGCATTTAAAATGCTGGTTTGAGAAACAAGGCCTCTGGCCTATGTGCATGCTAGCAGCGAATAAAGGGGAAGAACGGGAAGGGGGGAGGGGGCAGGAGAGGGCGGGGAGCAAAGATTCATGTCCTCTTTTCATCTTTGAGAATGCACACTGGAAGTTCGAGCGGTCTTTTTTAGTCTCAGGTGCTCTTGATTTTTCCAAAAGAGTCAGAAATATCAGGTTTTGAGATCATAAATTTCGGTTTTTTTTCCCACTTTTCGTAATGCATGCATTTGTTTTTGCTCTGACTTGCTTTTGATTTGTGCTGTTGGATCTGAGGTATAAATTTGTACAAAAGTATGGGATTTACTTTCAGCTATCGCTTCGAACGTGCTGGTTTCGAGGGCGGGAATTACGGTGGGGCGCGTGGTGCACCGTACAGAGGACGCGGACGTGGCGGCTCGTTCCGCGGTGGTTTTCGTCAGAATAGAGGTGTGTCTTAAAAATTTTTGATTTGTAAATGCTGCTCGATTGTCTATCTGTTAACTCTGTGTGATAAACCATCTCACGTTGCACATCGAAGTTTGCTAAAATTTTTCAAAAATGTTGAGAATTTTCTCGGTCTGCAGTAAGTTTTTGGTTCATTATTACTCCGCATCTCTGCGGATGCTGTTTCGCGACGAGTCTCGTCGATGCTTCTTGGCAATTTGCCATGTGTGCTGGGTAGTGATGTTCGGCGTTCGGCTATTAGATCGCGTGCGTTGAGGAGGTGGTGGTGCGGGAGGAGGCTGTATGTGATTGGGGAGGGAGTGTTATTTGGTTGGTAAGTACCTTGGTACAGCTCAGGGGGGCACGAATTAAGACAAGGTGAAGGAGTAGAACAAGAGGACTAGTGAGGAGTAGGGAGCAGTTAGTGACAATAGTGGTTGGGGGAGGGAGTGTAATAAGTGTTCAGATGCCGCTCTGCAAGCAAGGTTTGGGGGCTGAATAGAGAAGAGGAACAAGTTCCACGGAACACGCAGAAGCATCTGAAACCTGCATACAAAGCTACCCTCCACTATTATCCCATCTGCGTCATCCAGCGTTCTGTGCAGCAGCGGGATGAGGACACCCGATAAAATCAACCGCAGATCGTGTATGGACCCGACCGAGCCGAGCCGAGCCGAGTTTTAATTTCTGCATTCTTTCGGACGTGCTGGTATGGAAGAAGAACACAAAACAAAAGAAGAACGAAGTTTAACGTGAAGACAGTGTGCACAATTATTGGACAATTCAACGCACCAAAATAACCGACACCATCTTGCCAATATCCCGAAATGCCCGGGAAATACCACCTATTAATATTCCATATTTTGGACGGACTTAAGGCTGGAAGCGGGAAATTCACATATAATACCTGTGGGATGTACGACATCTGAAGCAGGAATGACCCTTTTCATTCTTCACTCGTACCTGTCTTTCATTTTCCCCTTTCTCCAACACATTTTTCTACGACTGCGGTAGCGGGGTGTACATACAGGACGGGGTTTGGGGGGGGGGAGGAGGAGCACAGACGGGGCGGCACTTGTAGCTTTCCACGTTAATTTTGTTGCTATTAGCTGCTTGTGTGTTTAGGTGGTGGCGATCAGATGGAGGATCGGCGCCGTCCAATTGATGATGATAAGGGTGGCGACAAAGAGGACATTGGGGAGAGAGATGGTCGCCGTGGACCTCCGGCTAGAGGCGGTCGTGGCGGAGGACCTAGACGTGGTGGTCCGTTTTTATAACAAATTTCTTTTTTTTCCCCTGCGAAGGATTTGCTACAGAGGGTTGGCTGGAACTCGAAAAATTGGGGGCGGAGGTATCTTGAAGTCGTGCAGAGCTGTGGGAAAGGTTGTAGACTACTTTTGCTTACTCGTTCCGCGCTTTGAAAGGATTTCCAGCTCCGATTTTCCTGTAAGAGGGACTTAGCCGGGCTTTAAACGCTTTAAGAAAGTTTACATGTGTTGGGCATCATCACTTCGTGCCGAGCACTGCACTCTTGGATCACGATGTGGTGCTTTATGCGATCTCTGGGCGCAGTCTCGGGGTAAGGTAATACTTCCCTAAAATCAAAAAAGTATCCGTTGAATTGACTGATGCGAGAATTTAAAAAACAATTTAAAGGGAATTAAGAGAATTCAGGTACCCCGTGAGAATTTAAAAAAGTCAATTCAAAGGATTTTTGAGTTGATTGGTGCATGCAACAAGAGATTGAATTTTTGGATTTTGCATATTTTTAGGCAGAGGACATCCAGCGCAGACAGTAAACGGGAGCGGCTAAGAATCGAGGCAAGCGAGGGATGATGATTGGTGGTGGTGGCGTACTGGAGAATGATGCGTGCATGGAAGTCTGTGGCACGCTTGCTTGGTTTATTTCAAAAAAAAAAAACACAATTTATCCCTCTTTTTTTTCCTAGCTGAAATGTCATTGTGCATTTTTTTTTTCTTTTGTTCTATGCGTTTTTTACATACTAAAAATTTGTTGTCCGTTGTTCACCCTTTTCTTTTTTTTTCTTTTTTTAAGCTCTTTTGCACAATGATTAATTTTTTTTTCGCCACCAAATGATGATAATGATGATAGTGGTACATCAACGTTTGTATTGAACGGCTGATATCGAAGTACCGCATTATTGGTCTTTTTTTTTTAAGGCGAATTCACGCAGTTTTTTCTTCTTTGGCGACTCCTTTGCTATTATTGTGTGTGTGTTTGCGTTGCGTGTCAGCACAAGTTTTTTTTTTGCTCT